TTTGGAGGCTGGGTCTTGGGTCTTCTTCCACCCCCTGAGAAATTCTGGACAATTTACTTAATCTCTGCACTTTATTTTCCCCATTTTTTTCCCTGTAAAATGGGATAATAATAGTGACTCTCTCAGTGTTGATCTGAGGAGTTAAGTGAGATACAGCTCGCAAGAACTAAAAACAAGAACCGATGCATAGAAAGCCCTAGAAGAACAGCAGCTATAGGTCAGCACGGCTGTCAAGAGTGTGGGCGCTGGCGTTCGAGCCCCATGCAGCATCTGACTCGCGCCTCTGCCTCTGGCTAGCTGTGGGATCTTGAACGAAGTGATTTCACCTTGTGTCTCAATCTCCTCATTTTAAAATGGAAATAATCATACATCCATACCTTGTGGGTTCCAAAAGAGGATTAAATAAGATAATATATGTAAGGTGTTTACAGTGGCACCTGGCACCTAGTAAGTGCTCGCTCTACAAATGTTAATCGTGACTAGCTTTGATTATTCTCCTAGCTTTCCCTTTCTTGGTGTTGGTAAGGTTTTCTGCTCCTGTGTAGGTGAAGAGCTGGACTGAAGCCTGAAGTGAACGACTCTGATCGGGGCCGCCCGAGGTCTCTGCGGGCCCAGAGCTCTGGCCCGGCTCCTTCGTGTGCCTCCTTATTCACAGCCTCCGGCCTCTGGCCCTGCCTCTTTAGAGTGGGCCCAGGGGCCTGGGGGCCCCATTTTGGAGCTGGCTTTGCGGTCAGGCAGCCATAATCTGTCCCTCGAGCCACACCAGAGTCTCATTAAAACGTGCCCCATAAATGTTAAAAAATTTACACATAAAAAAATTCCATGCATGAAACTGAAACCGTACGTTTTACAGCCTCGGTTTGAAATCTTGCATAATATATAAAACCTCGGCACTGCACTGGGGGCCCGTAAATCAGATTTTATAAAACAAAAAGCTTTTACCTTTCAAAGGGGTTTGGGGAACTTGCAAATTTTACAAACTTTACCAACTGCCAGTCAGAGGCTGCTGGGTCCAGGCAGGGGATCAGTGGGCCAGGTGAGAAATGGGCCTGGTGAGCACTGGTTGGGTGGGGGGGCTCCTGAGGGAGCTCAGCTGGGGGTTGGGGGCATGCCAGCTTAGCCACCATGCACGGGCGGGGGAGGAGCCACACCCACAGCCCTGAAACAGGGAGGTAGAGAAGGGCAGAGAGTGGGCACCAGGGGATGGACAGGGGATGTGTAGAGATGCTGGTGGCATTTATAAATGAGGGCTTTGTAAATAAGATGGGGTCACCCCAGAAGGAGTAGGGTATTGAGAGCCAGCGGACATGGGCTTTGGTCCTAATGACTCATTTTCCTTTTCTGGACTTCAGTGTCCTCATCTGTAAAATGGGTAATGGGATGGGCTGGATTGGCTTCTCCCTGAGGTTGTGTTTTTCTCTTAGTGTTTTGTGATTCTACTGTGGGAGCAGCTGGCTAGCAGGGGAGGGAAGTTCCTGCGGAAGCCTATGATCTGGGAACCTCTCTGATCTTTGGGCAGCTCTGGGACAGCCCGTTCCCATGGGAACTTGTCTGGGAGACCACAGTGGGGAGCAGGGGCTGGGATTGCTCAGTGAGGCAATTTGCTTGGAGGAATGGAGAATGAGTGGCTGGAGGTGGTGGGATTTATGTCCTAATGGCTGGCCTGGCAGGGCTGGGGCCCATGGGCTGTCTGGGCTGGGGAGGGAACAGGATCAGAGGGAGACTTGAGGCCCCAGGGTGGGACAAAGTTTTGGGGGACCCCCCATGTCCTCCTGACAATCCCATCTGTGAAAGTCAATATTCAAGGGCAAAGGAAAGCCGCCCTGACACACATATATATAAAAAATAAATCTCTCAATTATCTCAGCTCATTTGCTTGGGGTCTCTCATTTTATGTCCCTGCTCCGCTGCGCAGTATATCTGTCCGGATAAAGAGTTACAGTCCGTTGGGCTACGTGTGCGGGGTTGTAAAAAATACAGATGCCAAATTAACTGGCTGTGGCACTCAGCAGCTGATTGAGCTGATAATGACGCGATCTGACCTTTTTCTAATTTCTAATTATGTGCATCTCGGCTGTGCTGGCTACATGATTCTTGTTCTAATGATGGCCCCTGTGGTTGGCCTCTTGAGCCGCTCCCTTCCAACATGGGACCATAATCAGGGAGGCAAAGGGCACTGCTGGACTCCCCAAATAAAGTTGCAGGGTCCCCGCCCACCGTCTCTCTGATGGCCAGGAGGAGAGGTTGGGGAGGTGGGCCTCCTTACCTTAGCGATACTGCCTTCGAGATTAACCTTCTGGATGCCACCCATTTTTAAAGGACATTTAGTTCCACATGCCACCTCGTTAATTTTTTTTATTGCAGTCACATGAGATGGGTGTCTTAGCACTACAGACGAGGAAACCAAGCTTCAAAGGAGTTACATCATGAAAGTCACACACTCAGTGAAGCCGGGCTCCGTCCTGCGTCTCGAAGTGCTCCTTCGACTCTCTATTTAAACACCTGACCGGTAGGCCAGCCATTGACCGTGGCCAACACCTTTAAGTAAATCAGGTCCACGTGCATGGATGTGATGTCTGAGGACTGGTCCATCCACTGGACCAGTCCCAGCCCAGTCACCTGGGATGAGAAGACCAGGGAACACCAGAGGTCCGGGCCGCGGGGCATCCACATCCCTAGGTCAGGTGCTCATGTAGCACATACCTGACCAAGTTCTGTTGGGTTGAATCAAGAAGTCTGATTCTTTGGGTGACAAAAAACCCAGAGAGATCCAGGTAGTGTTAGCGAGGGGAGAGCACAGAGCCAGCCACTTACTGGTATTTTCTAGGTTATACTAGAAAAGGAGGCAGTTCACAGGGTGTCTTTTATACTTTCACCTGGCAGGTTGTGGTGGGCAAGGTATGTGAGGTTCGTTAGGACCCTAGGACCCCTGCTTCTTATAAACACTTCAATTCTTTCACATTACTCAGCCTGGTTTTACTTTTTCCTACCAACTTAGGCCTCAGCTTCTTTTCGTGTCATGTGTCAGGGGTGGGTCCCGGCCCCTCAGGTCCATTCTGCCTCGCACAGAAGTAGCTGCCACAGGCCCTGGGTGGCTCATTCGGTTGTTGTCATTCAGCTCAGGTCATGATCTCAGGGTCCTGGGATGGAGCCCTGCATTGGGCTCCCTGCTCACTAGGGAGTCTGCTTCTCCATCTCCCTCTCCCCCCTGCTCATGTTCTCTCTCTCTTGCACACATGCGTGCGTTCTCTCTCAAACAAATAAATAAAATCTTTATTTATTTATCTGAGAGGGCATGAGTGAGAGAAGGAGCAGGGGAAGGGGCAGAAGCAGACTTCTTCCTCAGCAGGGAGCCTGACATGGGGCTCCTTCCGGGCACTCCAGGATCATGACCTGAGCTGAAGGCGGATGCCTAACTGACTGAGCCACCCAGGGGTCCCAATAAGTAGAATCTTAAAAAAGAAGAAGAGGAAGCTTCCTCCTCCCCTAGCTCCATGGCTACTGTGGGTCTAAATTCCAAAGACCTACTTCGGAGCTGCAGTTCTGAGATGGTGGTCAGCTGAACACCGGAGAGGGCCAGACCAGCCTGCAAGGAACCGGACAGACAGTGGTCTGGGCTCCTGGGAAGTGGGGCTGCTCCAGCCCAGCCAGGGACAAAGGAAGGCCAGGGATGGGCAGAGCAGACCCAGGGCCCTCAGATACCTACGCTAACATGCCCGATGGCAGGCAAGTGTTCATGCTCTGGCATGTGCTCCTTCTCTCTAAACGCCAGCCCCACTGTGACACTTCACCAATTTCCAGGCCAGGGTGGGCTCTCCCGGCAGCTCTTCCAGACTCCATGAAATATCAAACTCGATCCTGAGAGAAGCAGTGGGGTGGATAGTTCACAGCACAGAATAATATAGAAGTCACTGAAATCTGTTCTGTAGGTGTTCTGAGTGTGTGTGTGTGTGTGTATGTGTGTGTGTGTACATTGTTTTGGTGCCACATTTGCTTTTCTAATTCTATTTCTCTTTTGGGAGCAGGTTATCAGCTAAACTCTGGCTACAAGAGGTCAGCACTACCATCGATTTATGGAGGAGCGTTTTGCAGAGTTTCCAAATTCACCATGCATGATCTAGGTAATCCGCCCACAGGAAAATCAAAAATTGTGGTTAATAATTAATAATTCCAGGATGACTGTATATCATGATGAATGAACAGAGCAGCTTCCCTATTGCTTGCTCTCTCTCTCTCTCTCTCTCTCCCTCTCCCTCTCTCTCTCTTTCAGCACAATTCCCAGGGCTAGAAGAGAATTTTAGATGTCACCTATGGTAGTGGGTATCAAATCTCACTGATGATCGCAATTGCCCAGGAAACTTAAAAAATTGTAGATTCTTGGGCCCCACCCAATTTACTGAATCACAGTGTCCAGGTGTGGGGTCCAGGAATAAACATTTTTTAAAAAACTGTAGTGATGATCTGGATGATGATAAATTGGGTTTCGGAGCCTGGTCTAGGCCCAGATGGACAGGACATCCGCTGGCCTTCTCAACATGAGTGTGTCTGCAGGCTTTTTTCTCTACTGATGGGTTTAAATATGCCTGTTGCCCTCATCCTCCACATAGGAGCACACTAGCCATCAGCTCCTCTCTGAGTGGCCCAAGACATATTTATTAACATGCCAGGACTTCAGTCCTCAGAACAGCTACTCCAGACCTTCTGGCTCCCATGACCCTCCTTCCCTCCTGTCTACACTGCAAAGGGGGCAGGGTAGTGGGATGCAGGTGTGCAGAGAACAGAAGGCCATTGGCAGCAAAACCTGGGCATGCGACTCTTGGGTTAGGAACCAGAAATGGCTCTCAGCTGCTAGAATGGGTGCATCTAGTGCCTGCCCCACAGCAGGCACCCCCCAATTTCTGTTGAATGAATGGAAGGAATAAAAGGATAATTTCTAAGGCTTTTGGAAGGATCAAAGGGTAGGAAGACCCTAGCCGGGGTGGGGGTTGGAGGGTCTTTACCAGATTGTCCAGTTCTGGGTCATCGCTGAAGAAGGGTTTGTGCTCCTGCTCCTGCTGGTGGACAAAGTTCTCGATGTCCACATCAAAGCTGGCGGAGGTGATGCACTCCGAGCCCTGGGTGGCCTGTTCGCATTTCTCAAACAGCAGCGTCAGGAGCGGGAAAAGAGGGTGCCTGCGGGGATAGCAAGAGCTCACACATGCGCACACACACAGACCTGCTGCTGGCGGGGCTCGGAAGCCACCGGGGGCCCCTTGCCCGCACTCCCAAGGCCCCCGTGCCAGCCTGGAGGGCAGCACCTCATTCCCTGGTCTCCCAGCTCCTGGGGCCTTCAAGGACTCTATTCTTCCCTATTGGGTGCCTAACCCTTCTCTTTAGTCAGATAAGCTGCGTGGATATTTGGTGAGAGATGAGGGGTATCACCCTTCATGGAAATCAGTGTCCATTTCCCGCTCAAGGTCAACCCGAGAAGGAAGTGTAGGAAGTATCCAGAAAAGTCCAGCACATGAGCAGTAGTGGTTAGTTAGTCACAGACTCATTCTAGAGCCAGCTGAGGGCAGCAGATGTGCACACCTGTGTGTCTACAAGTGTGCACAGGGGGACTGTGTGAGCTTGAATGCTCGTCCATACATGGTGGGCTGGTGTCACCACCTCTCCTGAGTCCCCTGGCTGGGTCAACCTCCCCAGTTACATGTATACAATCTCCCTGCACCTTTCTCTCATTGCACACTTAGCACAACCGTGACTCCATGATTATCTGCATCCCTGTTCTCTCCCAAGATTGGCCCTGTTTTAATGATCATTGTATCCTTAGGACCTACCCTGCCCTGCACACTCACAGCAGGCACTTCCTAAATATTGGTGGCTGATGATGAATGAGAAAATGAAGACAGTGTGAGTGTGAGCATGTGTGAGTGTGTGGGTGTTGTTCTGTGATTACATAAGCTGAAGTGCCTACTTCAGTCCCTGACTGGCTCTCGGGGTCCTCGCTTAGACATCACCACCTCGAGGAGGCTTCCTTCACTCCCCTGCCCCTAACCATGGCTGATGGCTCCCTGAATTGTTTTAGTATCAGCCTTCCTCACTAGACTCTGAGCGAGATGAGGGCAGGAGCTGAGCCCACCTCCTTCATCACTGTGTGTCCAGAGTCTGGAAGAGGTCCGTGGATCCCAATAGATGTTTCCTGCACATTACATGTGTGTGTGCCTATTTGCACATACAAGGGCACATCATTCTTATTTCCCCGCAGCATGTGTGAACAAGTAGGTCTCAGCATCCAGCATGTGTGCAGGTGTTTGCACAGCTTGCTGACGCTGGACCCTGCAGCCTCACTCCCTTCCATTGTGATTCCAGAAGAGCGTCTGCCCACATCCCTCTCTGGTCTCCCCTCAGCCCCTTGGGAGCACACAATCCAGCTTTTTTCTGCTTGATGAAGCCCTGCTTGCTGGGAGAGGAGGAAGAACATGCGTTGGGCCTGGCTCCCAGGTCTCTGCCAAGAGCACATTCTAGCCAGCACTGTCTGATAGAACTTTCAGCCATGATCGAAATGTTCTACAATTTCCTCTGCCCAATATGGTAGCCACCAACCCAGGGAGGCCAACAAACACTGGAAATATGACGGTGGACCCTGCAACAATGAATTTTAAAAGATTATTTATTTATTTATTTATTTATTTATTTATTTATTTTAGAGAGAGAGAGAGAGACAGAGAGAGCGCAGAGCTTGCAAGAACACAAGTGGGCAGAGGGTGGGACAGAGGGAGAGGGAGAAGCAGGCTCTCCATTGAGCAGGGAGCCCCATGCAGGGCTCGGTCCCAGGACCTTGGGATCACGACCCGAGCCAAAGGCAGATGCCCAACTGACTGAGCCACCCAGGGCCCCTGACTTTTAAATTTATGTAACTAATTTTACATAGGTAGCCAGGGTGGCTAGTGGCTACCATACTGGGGAACACAGTATGTCTTGCAGAGACAAACAGACCAGGCTTTCTTCCTCCCAGCATGCTACGATCACAGCAAGAGAAAGACTGACTATCCAGCCTACAGTGTTGGTGTACAGATGGGGGAACCCCTAATGGCCTGCCCTGTGCTGGGATTCTGGTAATTCTGGGCAATAAGACAGAAGGTGCTCAATGCCATCCACACCTACACCTCTACCGACTGGGCATTCTGTTCGTGCTCAGGGGCACTGGCGGATGAGGAGAGGGACATGCCTGCTTCGGTTGAGCCACTTGGCGGGGCAGCCTTCCCCTGGACACCACCTCCTGACCCTTGTCTTGGGAGCTGTTGCACACACAGCTGCCCCCCACAGCAAGCTGCAGCCGAGGTTACAGTCTGGAGAGGAAAGAGGCTGGGTGTCTGAGGGCGGTGCGTGGGCAGCCGCCAAGAGCTAGCCCATCTCCTGGGCTCCCAGAGGAAGCTGGCAGGGCAAACCAAGGGTCCCTTACCCGTCCGGCTGAAGACAAAGAGAAAACCAGGTGAAGGGGTTAAACTCCAGTGTAAGTCTTCATTTGCAGCCACTAATACCGCAGCATATTATAGTCTAATCTAACCTGATCCCAGTTTAATGCAAGATTCTCCTGGCCCTGAGTGGAATACCAAAGAAAGCCTCAGTGGCTGTAATTTAAGCAGAGCCCTGCAGTGGTTTAGCTGAGGGACATGAAAGGCAAATTCCAGACGGTGTTATGAATTATTGCGCCTTATGAACCTTCGTACTCTCAACAGATGCCTGCTGCCATTTAAACAGCCACTAGATCAATTAGGAATGAAAGGCACAAATCGACTCTGTACAAGGGCACTAAATTACCAGGAACTAATAATCCGCAGCATCGTGCCAGGTGGTGGGGGTGCGGCCCCTGCCCGAGCCCCGCAGCCGCCGCCGGTCACCGCACGTTCCTCCCTCGCTGGTTGCAGGGAGGGTGGGCAGCAGCTGCATGGGGAGGGGATGGTCTATGTGTGTGCATGCGTGTGCACACATGTGCACCTGGGTTGAATGTTGGCTGCCAATGAGAGCGGGTGTGAGTGTTGTCCAGGTGTCCTGGCCTGTGTGTTGCTATTGTGTGTGCACACACAACGCATTTTTGCAGTATGCGTGCACATGTGGGTATGAAAGCGGGATGCAGATTTGGTGTGCTGTAAGGTGTGCATATGCCCCGTGTTGTATGCAGTGCGTGTGTGCATGCGTTATGTGTTATTTGCAAGCAGTATGTGTGAGGGGTTTGTGTGTTCTGTGTACACAGCCTGAATGGCATGTGGGGTGGGGAAGAGGGATCTGCGAGTGATGGAGTCTCCCAGCATTAGAGTTTAGGTAGACAGGGAGAGTAGTCTGTTTTGCCACTGTCCTTACCCTTGCAGGGCAGACAGTAGTCAGGGAGGGCCTCTCTGAGGAGGTGACATTTAAGTTAAGCTTCCAGTGATGAGGAGACAGTCATGCAAAGATCTGAGGGAGGGGCCATTCCAAACAAGGAAAAAAACGAAAAACAAAGTATTTAAGGTAGAAATGAGGTTGGCACGTTTCTAGAACAAAATCCAGATGAGTGTGTGGAGCGAGGCACGCAGGACGGGAATGGAAGGAAAGGAGGCTGAAGAGAAGCAGGTGTTAGACCAGAGGTAGGGGGCTGAGGTAGGACGGGGGCATTGTCACACACACTGGGGAGCAACGTACACTTCCTATGCAGAGTGACAGCAGGGGCCCTTTATAAATTTCTCACTTCCAGGTGTCAGATCTCCCCGGAACGTGTGCGTGTGTGTGTGTGTGTGTGTGTGTGTGTGTGTGTGTGTGAGGAGGGCATATCTGGGGTATTTTCTATGGCTTCTGCTATCTCTCAGAATAAGGAAACTTTTTCTATCACTGCCTCCCTCCCACCCCAATTTAACCAGGGGCCCCTGGAGCACAGAGCAGACCCCATGGACGCCCGCATGAACACCAGTCTCCAGCCCCCACCCCCCACCTGAGCCACACTATCAGCTCCCACACTTCTCTTCTCATGGACACCCTCCCCAGGCTCCTGCTTCTGGCCACGCTGGTCCCTGGGTCCCCGAGGTCTGGGGCTCAGACGGTACCGGAGCTTGCCCACGGCTTTCCTACAAGTGTTCGCCAGGGTCAGTGAGCTGTCTGTGGCTCCCACGCTCTATCTGCCTGGATCCCTCGATAAACCTAGATGGCTACCCGCTACTTCAAGCACGGGGACCATTGAGACACTCTGCACACACACACACACACACACACACACACACACACACACACACACCCTGAGAAATAGGCTGTTTCTTAATGACTCAGCTGGGTTCCATGGCTGCAGTCATGCTACGGGCTCCTCTAAGGCTGTCCCCAGCCCAGTCCCCAGCCTCTGGCCCAGCCACCCGGCCTATGGGTTGACCTATATTTCTAAGCTACCCTCCAACATCACCCCAGAAGGCTGGAGATGAGGCCGGAACCCTCCTCCATGCTGCAGGCTGGGGTAAGCTGGGGGTGAGTAGGTCAGGGACCACAGGAGCTGGGTGTCTTAGCCTCCTGGGATGTGAAGGGTCCCGCCTGAACCAGGTGGGGGATGGCAAGAAGCATTTCCAGTTAGGCGTGGGGTCTGGTTCTTTATTCCTGGCCTTCTCTGAGCTTCGGTTTGGCCAGCTAAGATGAGTTTTAAGGAGTTCCTCTTCCTGCCCTCCAGATCTGTCCCACTGTGGGTCAATACCCTTCAGAGGCCTGAAGCAGGAATGTGGAAGCTCCGTCCCCGGTGCCCAGACGATGATGAACAAGATATGAAAGATGGCCATTAGACTTTATTTCCAAAGAGCGGAGGACATTTGACCTCCATAAGAGCTCACCTTCTCCCTCCCAGATCTTTCTCCACTCTTCTCCCCCTGTCGCCTCCCGCCTGACCGCCCCCTCCACCCCAATCTCTCTTAAGCCGTTCAAAATTTGGAGGAAATAAATCTCACTGCACTAATTCAGTGAGAGTTTGAGCCTCGTCAGTGCAGAACAAATAAAAGGAGTGAACTGGCATGACATTTTACTGCAGAAGAGAGGTCGTTTCCAGCCACTAATAAAAAGGATTTGACACAGACTAATAAAGAGAAATGAATTTCTCTAATGGCCTAATTTAGCACATTCAGCATTGTGCCTCTGCCTGGGTGCTGGGAGGGGGCGGGTGGGAGCCGTGAGTGCGGACAGAGCCA